AATAAATAGCGTGTCAAGTTGATTGGATTTAAGTCATAGCTATTGCCTTCCTGACTTCAAATCATAGTTAACTTATTTGACGAAAAGAGTAACGTTAACAACAGGAAAGAAGAGAATGCAATTAAATATAGAAACTTTTGAATCAATGAGTAAATTATGCACTTATTATAATAATAATGCTAAAAAAGAACTTTCTTATTTTGCATTAAATATGACAGAAGAATCAGTAATTGAATTATTATGAGAAACAAATACTGAAGCAATAGATGAAGCAATAATTAATGAAGAATTACTACCTCTGATTATTGATTTTCCTAATGCTGATCTTCCATCTGGAAATATTAGAACAGCATGTGCAGCCCGATTAGTTGTATTGGATAACAGAAATAATGAATTACAATTACAGGATAATGTAACTTTAAACAAATATACTACTAAATTAGAACAAAGCTTTCAAAATAATACATTATTTATCAAGGAGGTTTTAAATTTAGAAGCACAAAAACTTATTAAAGAATTAGAAGAATTTTCTTATGAAGAAGATGATAATTTTTCAAATGAAAGTTTAATAGATGAAGAAGATAAGGATACAGTCATGAGTTTAAATGAAGAAAATACTAATTGGGAGATAAATGATGTAATTGGATTTGATGAAGAATAAATTTAATTTGATTCAAGATGTAAATTTTTTTTTTTTCTTATCTTTTATAAATAAATATATGATATTATAAATAAAATCAAAGAATGACTTTGCTATAAATGATTTTCTCAACTCAAAATAAATTTTTAAAGTTAAAAAATTGTAGTTTAATATTGATGGGTTTTTGCCATCTGTCGAAACTTTTACCACCCATTAAAACTTTTGCAGTTTTGCCTTTAATAAAAAAATTTGGCAAAACGTTTCGATGGGTTTCAATTTTAATACCTGTTAAAACCTCTGGATTTTGCCCAGCAACCTTAACTTTATCATATTCTCTTTCAGAGTTTTGTAAGAGCCTTGAATGTGCATTATAAATCTTGAAAGTTCATTTTAAGGTTAAAAATTTTTTTATCTTGTCAAAAATTTTCAACATCTCATACTCTATTTATATAAATTAAGTTAATGTTCCTAATTCTAATTTAATTTAGGAAGCTGAAGTAGGTACCAAAATAGAACCTTTCCATTCTTAACAGAAGATCAGACTAACTCTAACAAAAAAATAAATTTGGAAGATTTAATAATCAAAAAAAAAATTATATAAAAGGAATAAAAAAAAAATAATTATCTATTACATATTGAAAAAAAATCAACTACAACTGCAATTTGAAGTTATCAAAAACCAATCGAAAATAAAATAATCCAAATTTCAAAAAAAAAAAATAATTAAGACAATTTATCTGCACTAATAATCTTATTAATAAAATTTTTGTTATGTAAGCATAAAGATAAAACATATATTAGCCAAAAATTAAATTTTAAATCAGCATATAAAAATCAATAATAAACATTGTTTTTTCATCATATTTAATTAGATTTTGTTATTTTAACATAAAATTTGATTAAGCATTCCTTATTATTTTTTAATACTATTGATACCTCATCATATAAAACATTTTATCCATTATTATAATATTAGTAACGCTATTAAAAATAAAAATAAAAAGTCCATTTTTGATCTATTATTTAAAATTCTTTTGATTTTCTTAACTTAAATTTGCCTGCATAATTTTGAATTTTACATCTCATTCTTTTTTTATTTAGATTTCTACTGTTAAAATAACACGATAAAATTATTTATATTTAAATCACTTTATTTAAGAACTTATAATTAAAATCATCATTTATATTATCAATTATATCTTTACATTTTAACAATCTTTTTAGTAACTACATATAAATACTATACACTTTTGCATTAAAAAAAATTTTGAAAGTGTAATTTAACTTTTATATAAAGAAAGAATGCCTTTATTTTATTTATTTGATAATGGTATAAAAATCTGTAAAAAAAATTTGGTTTGGATTAATTACAACATAATGCTATATGGCAACTAGATGGATTTGTTGATATGAATTATATTTTCTATAAAGTTATTGGTACTCTAAGCTTTTTCATTACTTTAAATTCGCAATAGAATACTTTAACATTGTATAACTTATATGATTACATTTTCCATTTATAACATCAGCTATAATATCAAATGGGTTCAGAATTGAAAATTCAGAAATAAATCACATTTCAGTTAAAATTTAGAACTGACTTATATTGCAATCAGAAGAAAATATATAGTAATAAGTTTGGTATATGCTTTAATAAAATTATCAATTATATTCACCAGTTTTGTAACATTAGAATAATCAAAAAAAGCTGTAGCAATTTAACTTTTCTATGAATAGATGTATGATAAATATTGTTAAAATGAAAAGTTTAATAAATAGTATGAGTAACTAAAGCAAAATTTTGTTTCTTTGTAATGACTGGTCTGGTAATATCAGTACAAAGTTTCTTTTTGATTATAATTATTGAAAAATTTAGATATCTAATTAAAATAAAATAATAATAATTAAATTTTAAAAAAAATGATAAATAATATTATAGATTTTAAAATTGGTTCTAATAAAGCAATATTAGATAATGATTATCATTTTTTATAAACAAAATAAAAAATAATAATAATTAGTAACTTTTTCTTAAATTAGGATTTTCCATATGAAATATAGATTATATTTCAAATATTTGAATATTGATATTAAAAATCAATTCAGATTCGAAACTGCAATATTTTTATTTTTTAAAAAAAATTTAAAAATGAGAATAATAAGTTTATTCTTTTAGGTAAAAAAGAAAGATCGAGATGATTTTAAAATAAAAAAAAATTTACAATCTACTTTTTCAACGAAGATTTTAAAAAGATCAATTATTACTTTTTCAGTTTTATTAAAAGTTTGATCTAATACAATTCATTATATTATTAGATTAAAAAAGAATTAGAATAAAGCATTAATCTTTTGTAATTTATGATTTACTGAGAAATATATAAGTTTTACCTAAATTTTCAATAAGAGAAAAAAATAGACATAAAAAAAACATTAATATACATTCTATTACATTTTTTATATGCAGTTCTTGTAGATTAGATCGTGTAAAATATGATTTTAAGATGTACAATCAGGTCATACATTCAAATTATACAGCAGTTTATATTTATAATGATGACATTATTTATTTAATATATAAGAAAGAAGCAATTGATCTGAATTATGTATTTCCAACTTATCTAGCTGCACATTATTGCAATAAAAGTAAACATTTAGATGTATCCAGTTTTTCAATTAATCAAACAAAAAATGTGACTGAATATATCGATCATGTAAGTTAGAATATATACTGCATCTCTTCAGTTATAATGTTACTATATAACAAATATTATAAATACAGTATATTAAATATATCTAATATGACAACAATTTGTTAACTTCGTTAACTTTGTAAAATAAGTCATATGACTAAGAGCAGTCATGAATACCAATAAAAAAAAAATAGTGATGATCTATAAATGAAATAATACATTCTTATAAAACTAACCAACTTTAAAGAAGGGCTCACCTAAATAAACTTTATATAATATTGCAGATTGTAGTTACTTTGTCTGGAAAATTTTTTAATAAATTAATTTATTATTAGTCTAATTTTAAAATTGCAATATTAGTTTAGCTGCATAATTATAACCTGCTTGAGAATAAAAAACTTAAGCATTTTATGAAAATACTTATTTTCAGTTGATCATATACAATCTAATGATTAAACTGCATTAAAATGATGAATATAAAACATGGCATATTTTATTATTACGAATTCAAAATTTCCAAACAGGTAAGGTATTTTGTTCTTTAAAATCAGTTCAATATTATATGACATAATATTTTATTATTTGCATAAAAGAAACAAATTGAAATTAATCAATATTTAATTAAATGTATTTAATAAGTATATGAGCTATTATTCGTAATTATATTATGATTTACATGAAATTATTAACCATTTTGTAGTAGTTAAACTTATTTGTGAAAGATTTAGCTTTAACAAATTGATTACTATTCTAACGAGATTTCAAGCTTATCTGAAATTATTTTAAATTATAGATATTAAACTATGATTATGCTTTTCAAATGGATAATTTTCTTTCAACTTTCAAAATGCAATTAAAAAAATTTTATTATTAATACTTTTATTAAAATTTGCTTGAATATCAAAAGTTCATTTCAAGTTATTTAAAAATTTAACACTTAAAATAAAACTTACAATACTTTTTTTTATCATTTTTGTGTAATATAGTTATTGATATTATAATATTATTATAATTAAATGTAGACTGCAGTATTAAATAGTCTTTATAAAATATTTAATTAAAGTTAAATTCCTACTAAACATCATTCTCAAATCAAGTGAAGCATTTTTGGTCACTTTTAAGAGTTATTAAACAGCTGGCTTCAGAAGAAGTTGATAATTATAATCTGAATTAATGAAATTCTAATCACATCGCAATTTAGCAGTTTTAACAAATCTGTAAAAATTAACATGTGATGTGCTTTGTATTGAAATAATAATATTTTTGATAACCTTTGTTCTAAGATAATTTTTTTTATACTTGAATTATGGAATATTTCATTTGCGTTACTGTATTACTTTATATATAAAATATAATGATATACAGTACAAACACAAAATATTTGCCTACTTACTCAGTCTTATTACAAAGATTTTTTGCCTCTACTCTTCAGCTAGAGTATTTTTCTCATCTATTGCCACATTTTTTAACAATTCTCTTAAAAAAATTAGTCAATATCAAGCTTAGTTACCAAGGTTTTACTGAAAAAATCAACATTTCTGCTTCATCTTTCAATATAAATGATTTGTAATTGCTAAACATCCTTTATGATATAAAAGATACAAATTATGTTATCGTTGTGATAGGTAAAATTTTAGATAGATTTAATTGGTAGAATATGAAGTCAATTTTATTGACACAGCAACTTTATTACCTAGCAAAATGGTAACTTTATTTCCTTTGATATATTTAGTTTAGTTTATTTTATTATTTATTCAACATGTATAAAT